CCATCCATCCATCCATCCATCCATCCATCCATCCATCCATCCATCCATCCATCCATCCATCCATCCATCCATCCAACTAAATTCATTAGTTGCTTCATATGTCAGCAAATCACAAAGCTGATAAAAAAAAAACTCTGGAAGTTTGAGTAATTTTTATCTATTTTGTTCTTCACATCTAAACCGGCAGCTGGTTCTAAGGGCTATCACAGAAAATGGGTCTGATTAAACATTTTTATGATTCTTGGATTTTATTTAAATTAGTGCACTTTTGTAAAAGTTACAAGGTGTATAAAATACACAGACTATTTTCCTAGAAACTTGGGTTAAAATCCAGTTATCCCACAAGTGAGTAGAATTTTCAGTTGTCAGGGGAATAATAATAAGCCCAACAGGAGCTGACAGAGGCTGTTTTAGTAGAAGGGTCTTTTGGTCCCAAGAGAGTGAAAATAAACATTTAATCGTTTCTCCAGGAGATGGCAACAGAGTTCTACTCACAGTAGGAACCATTGAGGTATCAAAAGAATCTCAGCATCTGACCTGCATCGTTAGACTATTCAATAAAAACCTACCTTTTGTCCCTTTGTGCAAACAGCATAGCCAATTACACTAGCCCCATTAGAAGTTCCTGAAGGTGTCAGGGGAGGCGGCTTCCATTTGACCTGAAGGACCCCTGGAGTTTGGCCACACTGAACCTGCACCTCCTGAGGAGGGAGAGGGGGACCTGAGAAGGACAACACACACCAGTTAGGGGGAAAGCATCAATTTTAACCCATTCTATCTAAACTGCTGCAAATAAATGCAATATTATATGTATTTTTGAACAGCTATGATAAACAAACATTGATCTAGTCCAACTGAACAGTAATAACTATATATAGTACTTTGTGGAAGAGTATCCTTGTATCGATACTGATATAGACATTATGTAAACACTCAATGCAAAAATCGAGCAAACCAGATGTTATTTTGAAGGTTTTAAACATATCAACCTTAAGCTTATATTTTAGGGTATTTACTTCTAATAAAAAGTGTGTTAATGTATACAACCACATACAATATATCTATATGATATGATGACTTTATATTAGGCAAAGATGGAGTCAAAATAAAATATAAAAATCAAACTTTTTGTCCTTTGTCACTTAGAAATCTACATTTACTAGGATTTTGAATGAATAAATGAATGAATAGGAATATATTTCATACAATAAACAACAAGAAATGAATAATCAAAATTACACACAAAAGAGACTAGTTAACATCAACCAAACCAATAACCAATTTCCAAAGTAACTAAATTCACCTAAATATAAATAGAAACAAAACCCTCCACCAAATAAACCTGTCAGTACATGCAATCGATTTCACCGTAAATATCTTGGAAGTGCAATATCGTGCTGTCAGACTATGCTGATGATTTTCTACAAAAAAACGAAAGGATGCAATTTCTTCAGTCTGTCAGCGCTGCATACTAAGCACCGTGCCATCTGTGCAGCGTTGCTGCTCACCTGGAGTGGAAGAGAGCAGCAGCAGTCAAGAAGAAGTATCTCTATGCATCAATGTGCTGCATGTGAGACTCTCAGGATAGGAGTGACATCCTACAACCACCCATTCTAATCATGTTCCTACTCTTCCTGCCAGCGGATGACGCAGACGTGGGTAAAGGAAGGGGCACTGCTTGGAGATTCAATTTTCTCTTGTCATTTTCACCCGGCCTGTATCATAAAAAACAAGGCCCTCTGCAAACTCAAACGAGGGATTGAATAAATACTTCACCATGGCCACTTTCATTAACTCTGGAAACCAACGGCACACAGTCGCTTCCCTTTCAGACGATGAATTGTCGGCAGCTCTGAATGACTAATATTGACAAAAATCTTGTATCACTAAGCACTAATGAAGTGACTTGTTTGAAAAACACATGCTGAGCCTAAAAGCTTTACAAAGGGCTTCAAGAGACTGTCTTTCATTGACGGAAGCTCTGAGCCACCCATCCCCGCTCTATTTCAGGTGCCTCTAATTAACACGTCCAATAGATAGATCATTTAATGAACTCTCAGCATGCAGCCGCTTCAGCTGCCGGCAGAAATGTCAGTTCTGACATCAAGTCTCAACTTATCCGTGTTCTATATTTTCACATTTTTATTTTTACTGCTGTTATGCTTTTCTCAAGGTTTGGAAACTGACTCACAGCGTTGCATCTGAACAACTTTACAGGACCTAAATGGTTTTGCAAACATTGTGTTGTGAGTAGGAAACATTTTATCATTGTTTCAAAAGCCACATGGGAGAAAAGGCATCAAAAGCTACTGTGCCATGAAGCTATCACCTAAAGGTGGACAATAATTCAGAAACAAAATATTTCATTTATTCAGTAACGATGGTATGATTTTTTTCCAACATTTTTATAATACATTACAGTCTATAATTACAGCATTTTTCACACACTGACGCTCCTTGTTTATTTAGTTTTATATGAGTTTTTTTTACAAGTATTTTTTAAAATGATTTATTGGATGAGTTTAATAGAGATAGTGACATATTTATCAGAAAATTGGACTGTTCTGCATGCATAAATATCGAAATCAAATTCAAGTAGATTTGCAAAAATACTTGTTGCATTACCAAAGACTCAAAATGAAAATCTTTCAACAATCTAACTTCGATTTGAATAAGTTTAATTCGAAGTAGTGACATTTTTGTTGTTAAAAAGTAACTGTTTGGTGTGTTTTTTTACAAACTCACTGGTAGTACAGTGAATGACACCCGTAATCTCTTCAATTTGAAAAGGAATAAACAATCTTAAAAATGAATAGTTTACATTTTTTTTTGTTAAAATAACCTCACATTAGGGTAAATCAGAGGATAAACAGAATTAAAATATCTCCAAAGCTCACTGCAGAGAAAAGCAGCCTATTAAGTAAATCTTAAAAGCGGCCATCAAATGCAAGGTGTTCATTCAGGGGTCATTCAATATTAAAAAGACTTTTCTATCCTTCCATCATTATTGTAGACATGAAGTTTGCTAAACTACTCAGATCTTTATTGGATTTATTTGCAATGATGATATGAGCTTTTCAGTGACTAGGGTTGAAATGTGTCATGATCTGGCCTGTTTGCTCTCCCTTGATTAGTCATTCCTTTCACCTGTTGTTTTCCCTCCCTGCCTCAATTATATTTTATTCCTCTCACCTGTTTCCTCTGGTTTATATTCAGTTCAGCCTGAGCATTTAGTGCCAGATCATTAACTGTTTTTCTGTTAGCCTGTCTGTTCAGTTTATTTCTTGGTTCATGCCCTGGATCCTGGCGGCCAGTGGAAAGAGGGTTATTGTGTCTGTCTCGTCTCCTGATCGTCCACTGTTCCTCCCCCGCGGAGTCCTCTGGGTTTTTGGCTCAATATGTGGGGAGGTTCAGTTTTTATCCAAGTAAGCCTGGCTCCAGGAAGGAGACCAGTTTAAAGGTTCTGCATCAAGTTCTGGTTCCACGTCCTGTCTCGGCTACCCTCTGCCACTGAGCCTGCCCGTTTGCACCTGATCCTGTCTGCTCCTGTGCGTGACCACCTGGTCACGCTTTCGGACCCTGTCAGACTCTGAACCCGCCTAGGAGCTAGTGGATGCCTGGAATTCTGGATCCTGCCACCTGTTCTGTTCCTGCCTGATCTGTCTGTTCCTGTCTGTTCTGGATCCCTGACCAGGATCGGCTTCCAGCACGACCTCTGGGACTGCAGCACTTGGGGACATTCTTGGTCTGGACTGTTAAACCAGAGTGTCTGAGATTGGGCGTTGCCCCGCCCCCCCGCCTGCAGTTGCTGCGTGCCTCAGATCCTAGCAGCTCCCCTTTTAGTTTTGTTTTTCACTAAATAAACGTTTTGAATTTTCCTACTGACTATCTCTCCTTGAATACTGGGTCCATCTGTCCGCGATCATGACAAAATGATTCATCGGATTAATTGTAAATTAATAAAATTGTTTATTAATTTTGATCAAATTGTTTACTTGAGTTTATAGTCCCTCATATATGCAAGTCGGTAAAAGAATAAATTGTTCAGAGCAAAAATTTAATTGAAACATAATTTTTTTCCTGTAAATATGCTCTAGAATTATTTACGTTTAAGCCTCACCTGTTTAAAAAAAAGCACCATTTTCTATGTTGATTAATTTTGTTTATATATAT